TTACAATATTATCAAATTAACATTCATTTATATTCCTAATACCTATTTTGTACTATTTTACCAACCATTACCCTTTTTTTTTTAAGAAAACCATGGGGTGGTGTTATGTCCATATTTTAAATGTCTTTATGGATGCTGTGATGTCCATATCCGTGTCTTTTCTTCACCCCAAAACTTCAAAAACTAAATCCAAAACATTAGTTTCTACAGTTAAAACTTTAAATGATCAAAACCACTCAGTTCAGAGCTTCTTTTGCATGCTACCACTACTGACTTTAGATACCAGTCCCATTCCAAAAACAGTTGCATATTCCATTTCTGTAAGTTCTAGGTTTTTTTTGACTGGGCTTTAAAAGTGTATTGAACATCCTCAACCAGGAATTTTCCCTAAGTAGTCACATGGACATAAGTGTGTGACCTGTGGGTTCTTCCATTTAGCAAATGTTGCACCAAGACTGAACAAACACTGACTATATGGGGCAGGGATCAAATTTAAGTGGCCACCATTTACTGATGAGCACAGTGTAAATGCTGAACAAACAACTGCTTGTGCCCACTTAAAACAAAGGGATACAAATTCACTCCTGGACACAAATGGAATTCCAGAACAACAAAAATCAGCCTTGAAATGGCAGTTTCACCACTTTGTTGAAGGATATGTGCTGCAGCACGTGCCCTTGTACATGAAAGCATGTTCATTCAACTTGAAGCAGTTTTAAACATGAGAACCAAAATGCTTCAAAAGTGAAACTTTCTTTAAATTACTCCATCCTCATAATACCACAGAAAATTTCCACCTAGTACATGAATGGCAACCTTACTTCCACATCACAAGTGGAACCACAGATCTGAACCACAGAAATTAGCACAAAGATTTTTGAAAACTCACTCCAATATTGCAGTATATTTAACACTATTATAACAGTGCTCAAGATATCAAACTACTTGCTGTTTTACTAGTAGTGCTGTCCTTCCTAGCCTTATTCCCAAACTCAACTCCTAAATTTGGGAATTTCTCTGTAACATTTACCTTTATGTATGGCAAGACTTCCCATAAAAACGTAATTATGTTCATGCGCCTTGTTACCCATCAAACCAAGCATGGAGCACAGTCAGAGCCCTCAGCTGAGTGAGCACAGAACCAATCACCCCTCTCCTCCTCGACAACAACTTACAGAGACTGAATCACCAAAACCTTCTGTACAGACAAGGACAAGTGGGTCAACTGACTACTCTGATCAATCTTTCTCAAAAACTGCTACTGCTGATGAAAGCAAGCACATAAACACACAAATCCTCTTAACCGTACCTCTCCTGAAGACTCTGCACAGACCTCTGAAAGACTTTCTTTTAATCACCCAACTAAATATTCTCATTTTAAGGTTTGTTTAATCAGAACCACATGGCTGTCTATTAAAATGCTGCGTGTAGAGGTGTCCGTAGTCATGCAGAAGCACAGTGCAACAAACACCTGACAATCTTGGAGTCAAACACTGACTTAATTTTACACTTCTGAAATGAGATATTCTACTTCTGCATAGTCTACGAAATAAATTACAACTACAGTGAAGATTAAAGTCGTGTTACTCAAGCCACACACCTGTACCTGTAAAAACTGTTAAAAAATACCCGCCATCCCTAGAGGTGTTTAAAGAAAGACTAGACGTGGCACTTAGGACCGTGGTTTAGTTGACACGGTGATATTGGTTATAGGTTGGACTAGATGGTTTCAGAGATGTTTTCCAACCTAACTGATCCTGTGACTCTGTGAATATCTTTCAATAAAACCCACCCACGTTCCCGGAAGCTCCCGCACCCGCGGCGAGGCCGCTGTCCCTCCGGGCCCTGCTCCGCCGAGCGGCCACAGCACCTCCCATCTCCACCTCCTCCCAGGACCGGAGCGGCGCTCCCGGGAATCTGCGGCGCCAGGGCCGCTCCTGCTGCCCCCGATCCGCGCCCCAACCCCGACCCCGCCGGCCGAGCCGCCCCCAGCCAGGCCCGCGGAGCCCGCACCCTGCCGGGGCCCGCCCCGCACCCCGGGCCTGCCCCGCACCCTGCCGGGGCCTGCCCCGCACCCCGGGCCCGCCCCGCACCCCGGGCCCGTCCCGCACCCCGGGCCCGCCCCGCACCCTGCCGGGGCCTGCCCCGCACCCCGGGCCTGCCCCGCACCCACCTGCGCCTCCTCCCAGAGCGGCAGCCATGGCTCTCCGCCCGGCCCAGGCGGCTGCGGCGGCGGGTCGCGGCAGCGCCGCGGTGCCGCCCGCCGGAGCGGCGGGTGCCGGTGCCGCGGCGAAGGACGCGGGCGAGGGGCCGGGAAGGGCTCGGATTCAGCGCCCGGCGGGCCCCGCTCCCGCCGCCGGAGAACAACAAACTAGCACAACATGGCGGCCGCCACCGCCGTCGCCGCCGCGCTGCATCCTGGGACGGCGGCGGACCTCGGTCCCTCCTCCGCGGCGGGGGCGGGCGGGCGGCGCGCGCCGCTGGTTGGTCGCTCCGGCGCCCCCTCGCGCGCACGCGCGGCGGCGGGAGGGCGGGGCGCGTGCGCGCGGCGGGAGGGCGGGGCGCGTGCGCGGCGGCGGCTTGAGGGCGGAATGGCGGCAGGGGCGGGGCACGGCCACGGGCCTCGGACACATGGATACGGGCACAGACACACGGCCACGGGAACGGGCACGGTTCGCCGTCCCGGCTGCGTGCGGGGCGGCCGAGCTGTTGCTGGTGCGGGTTCCCCTGGCCTCGACAAACAGGGGCAGTGGGAGGGAGAGACTCCCGCGTGGGGGTCTGTGTATGTCTCTTGCGGACGTGGGTGACTCCTCGTACCACCGCTGAAATAGGCGGCTCACGCTGAATCCCGGTCTCGGTTAGCTTGGGAAAGTCCCCCGAGATCATCGAGGCCAGCCCGTGACGAACACCAGCATACCAGTGGCACCTGGGCGCTGAGTGCCACGTCCAGTCTTTTTTAAACGCTTCCAGGAGCCGTGACTCCTCCACCACCCTGGGCAGCCCATTACAGATCTGATCACACATTTTGTCCAACCTAAACTTCCCCTGGTGCAGCTCAAGACTATTTCCTCTTCTCCTATGGCAGATTGCTTCAGAAATGAGATCGATTCTTCTTTGACCACATCCTCCTTTCAGGTGGTTGTAAAGAGTGAGAAGGTCCCCCTGAGTCTCCTTTTCTCCAGGGTGAACACCCTCAGCTCCCTCAGCTGCTCCTCATCAATCCTGTGCTCCAGACCTTGTGCTCCGTTTCTGCGGCTCCAGCAGATCCAATGTCCTTCCTGAATGGAGGCTCCCAGAGCTGCACACATGGGGCTGTATTGAGGCTTCAGAAGTCACAGGTCCAGCTCGGACCACCGAGTTCAGCTGCCTGTTGGGTGACAAAAATGCTCACGAGTTAATTAATTCACCGTGAAGGGGATGGGTCAGGGTGTGTTAGGGAGACCTGTGGTCCCCCATCTTTCAATGCTTGAGCACTCAGGGAAGTTAACCCATGTATTCATTGAAGAGCTTCCCCACTCAGACCTCACCCGAGCTCTCCCTGTACAGGTTCAGAGTTACAACATGCTCAGTTTAGTTCCCTGCAGGCTGCAAATCCCTTCCTGCTGGCACTCCAAGCACTGCCCTCCTGGCTGCTTGGCTACTTGCTCCCCTCTCATTTTCAAAGGACCCAGTGTGACTGCTGAGTGTATCAGTTTGGATCACTGATCAGAAAAGTAATTACCAAAAAGTTTTCCTTCCAACCTTCCTTCCTGATTCCCAAGTTTCAACAGGGAAATCCAGATTTTTGCACAGGCCAGGTTAAATGCAATATAAAATTATGCCATGACATAAAACAAACTTCTAGGTTATGCTACTTATAAGAAAACCAAATCTGACCTAAAACAATTTAATGGAGCCGACTATAACAAGACTAGTTCAAGTAAACGGCAAAACTTTCCCAGGTGGACAAGTCCTCATGGAAATAATTAACAATGTTAGTATTTAAATTATCAGCATTATCTGATTAAACCCTCGCTATGAGAATACAGAAGTTCTCATGTCACTTTGTTCTGTGCTCCCTGCAGACTTATCTCTACATCGCATTTGATCTCATTTTTCAGGTTTTCTTCACAACCATACAGCTAGAGGTTTATTCTTTATGTATTCCTACAAACTCACAGCCAAATTCTGCCTTTAATGTGGGAAACAGGCCATCGGTAGGTGATGCTTGCTGATAATTTAATGTGGAGTCCATCAGTCCAGCTCTGATTGCCTGACACAGGGGTGATAAGTGAATACAACAGCTACCAATGGCAAAAACCCATGAGGATTGCAGTGGGGGGCCAGGAGTTCACCAATTGCTTCTTGGTATTGATCTTTCTTTCCTGAAGCTGGTTTGCAATACAAAAGGGTTTCCTGGCAAGGGGTTTCCTGGGCCCTTTAAAGGCTGTGTGGAGCAAGACTCAGCCAGGCTCAGCTGCAGCCTGTTACAATTCACAGCTCTCTTGTCAAAATTCTCTGTATCCCTTTTGTTTGATGCTGGGAAATTTTTAAATATAAACAGTGTTCACAATGGGCATCTTTGTGGAGTTCAGTTATGTAGAGGAGTGCATTTTATGGATATTTTATGCTCTATAATTTTGCTCATTTAAATAGCAAATTTTTTTGACTGACAGTCCAAACAGAAACCAATTTACCATTTTCTTAACAGACCAGTCTGATGTTAAAGAGGAATAACAGGACACTTAACTATTATTTTGTTAACATACAAACACTTTAGCCACTTTGCACAACTCTGGTACAAAAAAAGTGGCCATTCCCAGGTATCCAAACTTCAGCAGATGTGAAACAGAGATCTAAATTATAATGACAGAGACAGCTATGGTGACTCTACTCACCTTCACTCAGAATTTTCTGTGAATTTTCAAATTCCAGGAACTGTACTTGCTCTGGATTCTGTATAAAAAGCTCCAACTTTTTCTCTGTACTACCTACACCATGATATAAATGGAAATGCCCTCATGTCTTCTCGGTAAGTTGACATAGAGCTTCTGGAACCCATGAGTTAAAATTATTTTAGGTGAACTAATCATCATCAGTTTAAAAAATACTTTTGGAAGTTCTGCATGGATAACATATTTCCCTGTGCATCTTCCAAGAAAATCTTCTTGCAGTCAGGAATGCAACAGATTGTCTTGCAAGGGGATAAAGTAAATGACAGAGAAAGAACTCAAGATCCAATAATCCTGGTTCTGCATTCACTGCATTACTGGTGCAGTTGTCAACTTCACCCTGATTCACATGGTGCATTTTCTGCCTCAGATTTCTTCTTTTAAACCTTTCCGTAAAAATTGTTGTGTCCTAACTTCTCTACATTCACCTATTTCTACAGTAATAGTCATTATCAGTTTTATTTACAGTGGGTTTAGATGTTAACATTTTCTTTTCAAAATAATTTGTAACTTATTTCTGGAGCAGACATAGTCTTTTTAAAAATCTTTTTTATACTTAAATCCTTATTTATTTTTGCACTCTAGAATGGTTAAAACTCAGTCAGAAATCCAGTACAGCAACCTTCCAGGTTTAATTCCATTAAACACTTGGAATTAATATAAGGGTGTTTAGAACAGTGTTGCTTCCTATTTCCATAGACAAAATATACTTTTTACTTACTTTTGAACCACAGTTACCTCTTAGTGAGCTTGCATTCTAGTCTGGCTAAACCAGACTGAGTTTTCACACATGGCAGGCTGGTCCAGATGGGTGATCCAGTCTGGGTTTGGCTCATAACCTCCTTGTGCTGAACCTCTCAGTGACACCTGACCTCTTCCACCCAAAGTTAAACCTGTCTTTGGGTGAAGTCCTCCAGACACTGAACAGTTCCTGGGTTAATTCAACAACATCCTGTGATGCAGCAAATGTTCTGTCACACCTGACAGGAAATTCTGGATTTAAAGTGTACAAATGAGAGGTGCAAAAAAAAATTCGCTCTCTTGTAGGTGTCACTAGGCCTGATCTATGACCTGTTGGAGAGCCAGCAATCATAGGAGGCAGCAGTACCTCTTGAAAGAGAGACACAGGTGAAAGATGCTTTCCCTTTGAGCCAGATGAGGAAATTTCAAAGTCTTAAAAACTAATAAATGTCGTACTTAAGGAAAGAGAGCAGTATGAGATTTAAAACAAAGTATATGAAAAACACTGGTGATAAACCTTGGACAGAAAATTTCTGAGTTTGTATGACTAAGTGTAGTTTCAGAGCTGTAGACAGTGTTCATGTGTATACAATTTTGGTTTCACTGTAATTTTTCTTCTGTTTCCTCCTGCATTCTTGTTGCATATTATCCCCTTGTTGCAGATTATCTGTCTTGTAGTCTGCAATCCACTTGATGCATCTTATTTCAACTTTAATTTCTTCAGAGCAACGTGACCCTGGGACCCCTTAAGCAGCTGTAAGGGTGGAGAACAGGAGAGTTGTGAGCCTGAGCAAGCAACGTGTCAAGTGTGTTATTGGTGTGTCATGTGTGGAGTCCCTAGAAAGCTGGTCAACCACCAGAGATAAAAATCTCAACAGAACACATACCCTGTAGTGTAAAATATATGCATTTTTAACAGCTCCAACAGGCTGTGGGGAGGTTTGGGCTGTGCTTTGGGTTCTGAACAGAGAGCAGCACTCAGAAGCCTATGTAGCTCTCTGGACCCCAATGTCTGCAGTGTGTTTTAGGAATCTAGTGAAAAGAAATCAAGAAGCACCAAGGAATCCAAGGTTAAATGTTTCACAGTGTTTTATTTCTAATTTTTTTTTCAGTCTGGATGCTGGAAATCTTACTAAACTTTGCTTCATTTCACTAGGATCCCATCTGGTATCAAGGACAGCATGTGAATCAGGGTGAAGTTGATGAATATAAGGCAGCCCTTCCTTTCAAAAATGACTCAATGTAGTGGATAATGTCTAAGATCCCCCATTCTTAGGTAAAGGGAGTGGCACCCCATGATAAACATATCAGAATAAATAAAGATTAGGAGTGTTTCCCAAGACTTCCTGACAAGGAGCCAATGTACAGCATTGTTGGCCTTGCCCAAATGCTGAGCTTTGGGAAGAGCTTGCTTTCTCTGGACACAGGCCAGGCTGTAAAAGAGCAGAAGGACATGTGATGGCTCTAGGCAAACCTCAGGACATCACAAGGAACTCCTGTGGCTCAGATTCCTGTGACCCATACCTGTGAGTGAAGCACGGTGCTCTGTGGAGCCCCACTGAACATTGTGCACAGGTACCAAATGTCAGCAGTTGTGTACGAACTTCCAGATACGAGCTCATGTTCCTAAGAACTCCTCGTGCCAGAAGGCTATAATCCTGTTAAAAGCCTCTGGGAACTACTGCAATGCAAATAATAGTAGCAATAATTAGCTCTGCTTTAATTGATACTGTGTATTCCTCAAATGTCAGTGAAAATTTGCTTTGCTAAGCCAACAAGTTCTCCCCTGGAACTCTGCTGTCTTTACCAGAATTACACGAGGGGTGAGTTTGGATCATTGTAGGTTCCTGGCATAAATTATCAGCTGTTGATTCCTTGCCCTTTAAAACTTGGCAAGCATACAAGAAGAGTTTGCCAGACATGCAAGAACTAGGTCTATGCATTTATGGGTAAATCCTCTGGGACTATGCACAGAAAGGAGTACAATTTGCTAGAAGTAGCCAGCTGTGAAATCCAGGAACTCCTGCACACAGCTCCAGCAACTTAGAGCATATTTAGCCTGGCGTCAATACTAGTGGTTCCTGGAAGCAGTTTTTGCACCTTCAGCTTTATGAAAGCAGAATGTGATAGCAAGAAACCCTGTAAATGTGTGGAGATTCTAAATTTACAGAAAAATCCTAATGGGGGTGATTTGGAGTGACATAATCTAGAATCAGTTTATGGTTTATCCCAGTGGCCAGGAGTTGTCTCTGCTTAACATTGAGAGTGCAGGTCTGAGCACATCATTGGCATAAATTAGTAAAGATAACACACTCCAAAGCTCTCAGCATCTGCAGCGTGAACCATGTCCTCATCTGGACCTTACTGAGCACCTGAGAATTTTAATGTCCCATCCTTCCTGGACAGACGTCTTGCCTTGTAGCACTGGTACAGCTCCATGATCAGATGTTCCTTAGGGCTTCTTTCTAAGGGGAGGATAAATGTTCTCTGCCTCTGGTTGTGTAAAGGTCAGAGCTAAGCTCCTTGTGTAACCTCCTTCACCGAGTTACATTAGATGGGCTGAATGGTGCCTCTTAGCTGTGGGAGACCTCTCTTGGTCAAAGAGAAAGGAGATAAATCCCACCCAGAGTCTCTATTTTTACAGTACTGAACAAAATTAGTGCCGTAGCAGATCTCTAGTCCAACATTTTCCACATTTACCAGGGAAAGACTCCTGGCTTGGAGAGCTTCAGTGCATTGTTACAGAACCAAGCCATTTCTGTGTTTGCTGAGCCTAATGGGTAATGGGTTTAGGCTATAATGGGGAGCTTCAAAGACTCAGAGATACAATGTACCTGATTTTATGGGTTTTCCATATGTACAAAAGTGTTGTTGCCAAACAGACTCAGGAACAAATCACTCTAGCACATTACTAATAAGCCAATTAGTGAAATGAAGCATTGCAAGTAATAGACTGCGTTATGCAAATAGGTTTGTGTAGAAAACAGAATCATGTGAACTGGGTTTACATTCAGGAAGACCTTGCCAGTATGATATGTGGTGATAGTTGCTATAGCTGTTATTGATCAGTTTCTCTTTTCATCCTGTTATGTGTGGATTCAAATGTAACAAGTGATGTGAGCCGTAATGAAGACAAAGATGCTCAGGATTTAGACCTTATCATGTGTTTTTTTCAGTAGCTACATTTGGTCCACAGGTTTTGCAACACCTTCTAACATTAACTTTGGTTATACTATTTTTTCAATACAGTCATTAGCAGAACCAGTATCTTATTTGGTTCAAAATCCACAAATTTTTTACATTCAGCTAAATTCCTTACAAGGAAGAATGATAGAATTAGGGCTTATGTATCAAATCAGTTTGATTTGGGAACTTTAATTTATCTAGTTGATCCAACAGATTTATTTAGCACAGCCTGTCCACGTTAAGCTGAGTACCCTTTTTGTAATGAATTCCTGGCGGCCCAGGAGCAGGTTATGGAAAATGAGCCATTACAGTGGGCTGAGGAACAGGGAACCTATAGAGATGCATTATCCAATGCACAAGTTGAAGTGCTATCTTGTATAACAAATTATTGACTTCATTGTACATAGTACTAGGATTTAATTAAGCGATAAGGCCCATCATAGTGGCCCTTTATCTAGCAGATAAGGATTTACCAAGCTTACCCAAGAGGTCTTTATCTGAAAGATAAGAAAAAGGTACATAAGGTGCCTTCTGCTTTTAAATCTTTAATTGAAAGACCTTATTTTTTTTAAGTTCTAGGTTGTTTTTTCTTCATGACTTAGTATTAAAGATTCAGATGGATTTTTGTGAGGGAGGTTGTAGTAGGAAGGAATGTTACCAGTCACCTTCACTGTGTGAAATTAATAGGATTTATGTCATTTTTATTCACAATGTACCAGCTCTCAGATGAAGTAGAAATTCAGCCTCTAATTTTTCCAGTGACTTCCCATGGCCATAAAAAAGATTCATTCATTGACAACTTCAGAGAGTTGTAATTGTGATTATGTTGTGATGTTTAGGAAAATTTGTGATTTCGCAATATACAAAAATGGAGGAAAAATAATTTAAAGGCAGTTCTTTTAATGACTGTGTTGTCAGCTAAGCTAAATGATGCCTAGTCTTTTACCTATGTGATGTAAAGATATGTAAGCAAAAAACATACAAAGAAATTAAAGCTAAAGCAAAGAACTGTCACTTAGAATGAGATTAACACACTGGAAAAGACAAAATAATACTACTGCTAGTGCTCAGTTGAGAAAAACAGAGAGTAAATTCCAGAGAAAGGAGAGAGGAGCATATGTTTTTTATGAGTAAGGCACACATAAGGGCCACT